AAAAGCAGTTGTAAAGATCCACTGAACTCATGGATGTGAATTTTGTAACCAAGACTGAAATGGACAAAGAATTGTTCTTGATTCTCCAACCAATAGGTAGCTCGATAGCTCGGAGTCAGACAGGTCTGCGTTTGTCCCCAACTCCACTCACCACCTGTGTGGCTTTGAAAAACTCAATTAACATAACTTCTTTAAAGCCTGAGTCTCCTAACCTGTCAGGTGGGAATGTGAGAAGATTAAACGCAATGTGAGGTTCCTGGACATATCACTCATCCAAAATGCTCGGTGAATGAAATTCTTCTGAAAAGAATAGCTTTGGTGACTGGCTTACAAGTTTTCAAAAGGGAGTTCAGTTTCAGAGTGTGCAAGGTAAGGTAGAATCCCCACTGGATAGTTTTCTTCTTGTCTAGATGGGACTGGTGAAATGAGATGGGGATAATATTCTTATGATTCAATAGTGATTAATTGTTATCACGACTAATTACGACAGTTACAACTGTAAAGGTAGAAGTTTTGTAACATAAAGGGGAAAGTAGTAAATCTTACATTCCAGGAATAGAGGACTCTAGGATCATCAAGGGAGAAGAGCATAAGTGGAATGTAGAGACCCTATACAAAGAAGCAGCGACACCGGAGATAGAGGCAGAGATGAGGACATGGAGAAAAGGAGCAGCTGAGGACTGTAGACTCATGAAAAGAGAAAGGTTATGGGCTGGCGGCCAGGAGACAGACTTGCAGAATGTGCCCTTTGGTTGATTAAATGGTTATATATTCCTGCATATTTTTGTGTACCTCCAAAAACAAAACAAAAAAACGGGGAATAGAAGCAAATACTGTTGAATGATGGTGCATAGAAGCAAATCCTGTTGAATGATGACGCATGGAATTGTAATCATTGAAATGAAACGAAATACTATAGGGTGAGCGTAAAACCGATGTTCTCCCATGTAAACTATCACTTAAAAAAAAACTTTTTCTAAAAAAAGAACAGCTTTATTGCTAGATGGGAAAAGTGGTTAATGTCTGGACCTGTACTTTCAAATAGCAAATGAAGAAGGAAAAGTTCTAGGATGCCCTGGACAGCCCTTCTGCTCCCCGCCCATAGCTGAGTCAATGCCAATTCCCCCAAAAGACAAAAAGGAAGGAAATGAGGCTGCTCTATTTGCTCTCTGACTGGATCTGCTTCCTCACCCCGGGTTGTGGGTATGTCTGTCTGCCTGTTTTCTCGGAAGGTCCTTCTAAAGGCTAAAGCCCAGACTACCAGGGTAGGCTCTTTGGTGAGGATGTAAAAGTCTAGACTGGGATTTCTGACCCTAGTATCTTGACTTGCTCTGAACTGGAAACCTACTCTGAGAACATTTCCACATAAACAGCTCCTCATAAACTCCACAAACTTCCTATCACCTGACTCTAAGACCTGTGGGTTGAATCCAAATTCTATCAATTTGTTTTTTAGGTGATCTCATTTTTGGTGAAATCTGAATAAACTGTGTAGATTGGATTTCCTGGTTTAGACTGTATCCTATGTTTTGGTTGGGTGGTTATGTGCTGTGGAATCAGTTCTGACTCACAGTGACCCTGTATTGGGTTTCCGAGGCTGTAAATCTGTATGGGAGCAGAAAGCCTTATCTTTCTCCCGCAGAACTGCTGACCGTGAGATTAGCAGACTGACTTGTAACCACTACGTTACCAGATTCCTTACACTATGCTATACAGGTCCTGAGTGGTGCAAATGCTTTGCAATTGACTGGTAACCTAAAAGATGGCAGTTTGAACCTGCCCAAAAGTTCCACGGAAGAAAGTTCTGGCAAACTGCTTCTGTAAAGATTAGAGCCAATGGGGAAGTCAATATACAACAAAAGGGAGGTTAGCAAAGGAAAGATGAAGGTAATGGAAGATAGAGAAGAATGCGAGAGTTAAAGTGAATACAGGTAAATACTGTTAATTGATGGTACATGGAGGGAATTGCAGGCCATTGTAATGAAACAAAGTTTATGATTGGTTGAATGTAAAGCTGATGATTTTCTCTGTAAACCATCACTCGATTCACACACACAAAAAGTTAAAATTAGAAGAAAAAAAATCAAAACAGAACAGAGTACAGTCTTTAAAGAAAAGCCCTATGTATGGAGTTGCTCTCTTCTGTAACACATAGGGTTGCCATAAGCCAGCCCTGACTCCAGGATTATAAATTTGGTTTTTTGGTTTACTAGAATTACGCAAGATGCTACCATTGAGGAAACTGGGTGAAGGATACATGGGACCTCCCTATGCGATTTTTTCCAACTTCTGCCAATCTATAATTATTTCAAAATAAGATTTGTTGTTGTTAAATCATCTTTCCAACTTCCTTTCTACTCTCCAAAAAAAAACCAGTTGCCTTTGAGTTGATTTGAACTCATGGTGACCCCATCTGTTGCAAAGTAGAACTGCACTTCACTGGGTTTTCATGGTTCTGACATTTCAGGTGCAAATTACCAGGCTTTACTTCTAAGACACATCTGGGTGGGTTTGAAACACTAACCTTTCTGTTCATAGTCAAACACTTAACCACTGGTGCCACCCAGAGACTCCTTTCTACTCCCCCAAACCCCAAACCAAACCTATGCCGATTCTGACTCACAGAGACCCAATAGGAGGACAAAGTGAAAGGGCTCTACAGTGTTTCCAAAGGCTATCAATCTTCACAGAAGCCGACTGGCTCAACTTTCTCCTACGGAGCAACTGGTGGTTTCCAACCATTGACCCTGGGTCAGTTCCAACTCATAGTGACTCGTTTACGTTTTTCTGAGGAGCGGCTAGTAGGTTTGTCGAGAATTACTGCTGCTATTGCAATGCGTTGTCCAGTCGGTTCCAATTCATAGAAAACCTGCATAAGGTTCCCGAGGTTGTAATCTTTATGGAAACAGAAAGCCTCATCTTTCTCTTAAGGAGTACCTGGTGAATTCCAAGTGCTGGCCTTGCAGTTCAGAGCCCAATGAGTAACCCACTAGCTGACCAGGACTCCTTCACGGTCCAGTGCTACCACCAGGAAAAGCCCAACAGAATTTGCCCTGATGCTAAGAAGACTTTCCCACCAATCAAAGGAACAACACAAGGGAACAAGTGGGTTAACTGATGTTACATGGAAGGTATTACAATCACCGAGATGTTGACTTTAAACTGATCGTCTGCTCTGTAAACCTTCATTCAATTAGATAAAACGTTTTAAAAAAAGAAAGAAAGAAAACAGGAATTCTAAAAAAAAAAATTTATTTTATTAAAGCTATCCACTGGATAAGCACCAAACTTCTAACCACAAGCTCAGCAATTCAAACCCACCAGCTGCTCCTTGGAAACCCTATATAGGAGTTGCTAGGAATCAGAACCTACTCAGCCGCATTTAACAATAATAACAACTTGGAGTCCTGGTGTAGCGCTGTAGGATAAGCACTGGATTGCTAATCACCTGGTCAGCAGTTGAAACTCACCAGCAACTCCTCAGAAACATTGCACAGGGTTACTGTGAATTGGCATCAACTCGACTGCACTTAACGACAAGGATATTAGTCAAATGGGAATATCTAGTGTGGTACACCAAGGGTTGTATTCTTTCATCATACTTATTCTGTCTGTGTTGTTGTTGATGATGTTAAGTGCCATCGAGTCGGTTCCAAGCCATAGCAACTTTGTATAGTGTTTCCTAGGAGTGGTTGGTGAGCTTGAACCACCCTCTGCAGTTCATGCCGACTTTGCAGTCCAGTGCATTAACCCACAATGCTGAGCAAATTCAGTCTGTGCTGAGCAAACAATCTGAGAAACAAGAGTATATAAAGAAGAATGTGGCATCAGGATTGAAGGAAGACTCATTAATAACATGCAATATGCAATGATACAATCTTGCTTGCTGAAAGTGAAGAAGACTTACAATACTTACTGGTGAAGATTAAAGACTATAGCCTTCAGTATGGATTGCACCTCAATGTAAAGAAGAAAACAAAAATGCTCACCACTGGACCAATAAAGAACATCCATATAACTGGAGAAAAGACTGAAGTTGTCAAAGATTTCATTTTGCCTGGATCCACTATCAACACTCATGGAAGCAGCAGTCAAGAAATCAAACAGTATTGCATTAGGCAAATCTGCTGCACAAGACCTCTTTAAAGTGTTGAAGAGCAAAGACGTCAGTTTGAGGACTAAGGTGCACCTGACCCAAGCCATGGTATTTTCTAAAGCCTTATATGTATGTGAAAATTGGATAGTGAATAAGGAAGACTGTAAAAGAAGTGATGCATTATAGGCATGGTATGAGAGAAGAATATTGAAAGTACCATGGACTGCCAGAAGAACAAACAAATCTGTGTTGGAAGACGTGCAGTCAGAATGCTCCTTAGAAGCTAGGATGGCCAGACTTCGTCTCTCATATTTTGGACATGTTATCAGGAGGGTCCAGTCCCTGGAGGACATCATGCTTGGTAAAGTGGAGGGTCATAGTAAAAGAGGAAGACTTTCAGCGAAGTGGATTGGCACAGTGGCAGGAGCAATGGGCTCAAAGGTATAGAGACAGTTGTGAAGTTGGCGCAGTACCAGGCAGTGTTTCGTCCTGTTGTGCATAGAATCGCTATGAGTCGGAACCGGCCCGACAACAGTGTTGTTCTTGTGAAGTGCCGTCGAGTCGGTTCCGACCCATAGCGACCCTGTATAGGATTTCCAAGGAGCTTGAACCACTGATCTTGTAGTTCAAACGGCTTTGCAGTCAGGCGCATTAATCCACAGCGTCACACCAGACAACAGTTTGTTATTAAAAGCTTAATAAAGTTATTAAAAGTTTTTAATGACTTGTTGTCGGTAAATTAATTATTCACGGAAAGGCCGGAGTCAAACCTGCACACCTCGCCTGACCACCCTCCGAGTTAACACAGCCTCAAAAGTCACACGCCGCATAACGGCCACGCCTCCGTAACGGTTAGCACCCGCCTCTGCGGTGGGGGGTGGGGGGGACGTGTCCTAACTGCTCCGCCCCTCCCCCTGTGCGTGCGTGCGTGCGTGGCCCCGCGGTGACGTGAAGACGCCGGCGTGGCCAGAGGCTGAGGTGGCAGTGGCTTCAGCAAGATGGAGCTTCCGCAGATGCCCGAGTTCATGGGGTTGTCCCTGTTCTTCGGGCTGCTGGCCTTGATGGCCACTGCAGCGGTGGCGCGGGGGTGGCTGCGCACAGAGGTGGAGACGCGCGGCCGGCCCTCGGGTAAGTGCCCGCGGAGACCGCGTTCCCGCCTCCAGGGCTCCGGCCTGCTGTCTAGAGCCTCCTAGGGTCTGGAGGGGGCGGGCCGGGGGCCCAGAGCCTCAGTGTCCCCTACTGGCAAGTGAGCCGCGCTTCTATCGATGGAAGTGCCCACTTGGCCACGATGATCAGCCCCTTTGGCAGGCTTTTTCAGAGCCTGGATCCGCGCTGCCGCTTTCTCAGTCGCTGGAGTCGAACCCCTAAACTAGGAGCTCCAGCGTTCCGTTCCGGGGCTTGCTCCCCTTTCGTTACTGTATGAAAACGACTGGGGCCGGGCAGGCTGGCATTCAGGTAGTTCTGTGACTAGTAGCCCCATCAATCGAGCCTTTGTTACTCTGATGCCTCCGAACTTCCCAAGGAGGCTCGAGGCTTTTCCTTTCCGAAGTCCAGAGTTGCATAAGGGAGAGGACAGCGCAAAATCAAAGTGGAAATACCATATAATGGGTTTCATCGGAGAGTTCAGTGTTAAAAACTGAGGCACAGAGACACACTGACCTGCCCTACTGTTTGGGGAGGGTGCTAGGGATGTGTGTAGGGAATACATGGAGTGGGGCGTTGAATGGATGTGTCAGGACAGGAGAGACAGGAAGGAAGAGGTAAGGAGTCCAGAAAGACTGTGGGGTCTGACTACAGAGCGATGATAGAGGGGTGAATTTGTTAGGTATGCCCTGGGGAGCCCACAGAGGAGTTTGTGTTTTTCTTGTAGGGATGCCTGTTTTGTGCTCTGCCTGATGCTCGGATAAATAAGAGAGTTTATCCAAAAGTGACCAATAGCGTTCCTGGCATAGGTTAGATGCACAAGGCTTCTTGTTCCTCTTGTCACTGATACGCTGGAACTCTGCTGAGCCTTTAAGGCTGGTGTGGGGTACTCAGCTTGTCACTTTGTATATGTGATCCAATTCTCCTAGCTTCTCTTTAAAGGAAACCAAGGCCTCGAGCCATGAAGTAACTTGCCCAAGGTCAGGACCACAGGTTAAGGTTGTACACATTACTCCCTACAGAAGGTCACTGGTGTGGTGCTGTGGGTTAATGAACCAGACTGCAAAGCCATTTGAACTGCAAGGTCGGCAGTTCACGATCACCAGCTGCTCCTCAGAAACCCTGTACAGGGTCATTATGGGTCGGACCCTTTTTGTTGTTGTTAAGTGCTGTCAGCACTTAACAACAACAATAAGGTCACTAAGAGTAGGAATGGTCTTGAGTTTGAGAGTTGAAGGAGTATCAGGCCGAGGATCTGCACGCCATTGACTGAACCATGAACTCACTGAGCTACTTAGAGAGGGAGCCTTTTTCCAATTTACACTAAAATGCTACATGAACTTACAGCTAGCAGCCTGCTCAAGATCACTCAGTGACAGAACAAGACCCTAAACTCAGGTCTTTCCAGAATCCTCTTCTCCAGGACAGGGGCCATATCTATTTCATCCCTTGCTGCTCCTCTCAGTGCTTGGCAAATCCTAAAGCTTGTTGCTCTTGATTGACTCTTGGCCCCATGTGTCAGTAGAACTGAGCTCCGTAGAGTTTTCAGTGACTGATTTTTCAGAAGTAGATTGCTAGGCCTTTTTTCCAACGTACCTCTGGGTGGTCATGACCCTCTGATATCTCAGTTAGCTGGTGTTTGAATTGTTTGTACACGCAGTTGTTGTTAAAGTGCCTTTAAGTCGTTTCTGACTCATTGCAACCCTATATAGATTTTCTGAGGAGCAACTGGTCGGTTTGAACTGTTGACCTTGTGGTTTACAGTCCAGTGCTGATCCTACAGCATCACACACCCAGGAATCGCAGCAAAGCCTAGGTGATCAGTTAGTGCTTCCCTAGTGGGTGAATGGATAAATGAAATAGCCCTTCCTTACAGGCCAAAAAGCAAATGGATTACCACGAGAGAAATCCTCAGGGGGATCCAAGAAGCAGAAACAGAATCAGCGGATTCGCAAGGAGAAGCCTCAACAGCACAACTTCACCCACCGCCTCCTGGCTGCCGCACTGAAGGTATGTGGGTACACACAAACACATATACACCACACACTTCTCCTTTTAGTCCTTTGTGCTAGTTCGAGATTCCTCTAACCAAAATCAGAAGGAACACCCAATACTATCCCTTCTTTCTCCCTCCCGTTCTCAGCTTGCTGCTAATCCAGACCAGAGGGCCCCAGACTCATAGCTGAAGGTTAGGCTTGCCAGTCTGCCTTGAGAGAGTTTCCTGTTCACACTTCTGCACCCCTTCCCCTAGAGCCACAGTGGGAACATATCTTGCATGGACTTTAGCAGCAATGGGAAGTACCTGGCCACCTGTGCAGACGATCGTACTGTCCGCATCTGGAGCACCAAGGACTTTCTGCAGCGCGAGCACCGCAGCATGAGAGCCAATGTGGAGCTGGACCACGCCACCCTGGTGCGCTTCAGTCCTGACTGCAGGTGGGACAGGACAGGGCTCAGGTTTGCCTGCAGAAGCCCAGCCTCAGGCCCGTGGCCTTCCTATTTCTGGTTTGGGGTCGTGAGGGTGAGTCTAGGGTCTCCCTTGGGGTGGCAGAAATAGAGCATCCAGGGGAGTTGAGCACTACGTGGAGCACTACAGCTCCAGAGCCAGGAGGTGACACGCCCTGGCTTCCACGGAATTCTGGAAGCTACACTCATTTCCTCAACACTAGGAAGAGACTGAAGGAGCCGGAGCTGCAAGAGGTTCCGTCTCAGGTGTTTTAAGAGCACCTGGCGGTTAAGTGGTCAGGCTGCACTTTAGGGCCTGAGGGAGACTTTGCCTTTCCTCAGAATTTAGCAAAGATTCTGGCACACCCAGAACTCCGTGTCCAGCTGAGTGACAGGGACTTGTCTGCTCCCTTGTCTAGAGCCTTCATTGTCTGGCTGGCCAATGGTGACACTCTCCGTGTCTTCAAGATGACCAAGAGAGAGGATGGGGGCTACACCTTCACAGCCACCCCCGAGGACTTTCCTAAAAAGCACAAGGCGCCCATCATCAACATTGCCATTGCCGACACAGGTGAGAGGCAGGCAGTGGTACTGGCCTGAGGTAGAAGAGGGATTGGCCCCGGTGAAATTTACTGACTGAGTTCATGCTGCCTGGGAGAGTGACAGCTTGGGGCCACTGGCCTCATGTGCTCCTGTCACCCCACCCCCACCCCCAGGGAAGTTCATCATGACTGCTTCCAGTGACACAACTCTGCTCATCTGGAACCTAAGAGGGCGGGTGCTGTCTACCATCAACACTAACCAGATGAACAATACATACGCTGCCATATCCCCATGTAGCAGGTGAGGCATCTGGGGTGGCGACAGGCAGAAAGACAGCTTCCAGTAGTGGGAAAATTGTACAGTGTGGTCCAGAGACCTAGGCCGAGCCAAGGTCTCCCACTTCCCCTACTCTGGCTTCATGCATATCACTATCTCCCGAGTCTGTAGTTTCATCTGTAGTCTATAGTGGGGTCCTGGGTGGCGCTGTGGAATCACCACTGGGTGGGCTACAAACTGACCAGCCACTTCTCAGAAGCCCTTTGCAGGGTCGCTATGAGTCAGTGGCACTTAACAAGGCCGTCTACAGAAGCACTTTCTGGATAGAAAAAGGTACAGCGTTGCTTAACTAGCTAGGGAGGAGAATGAGATCTTCCTTAGGAAATAGATTGAGTGGATTTTGCAGAAACAAGATGCCCAATTAAGTCTTAAAGGAATCTGGTATTGTATGGCAGGTTTGTAGCCTCGTGTGGCTTCACCCCAGATGTAAAAGTATGGGAAGTCTGCTTTGGAAAAAAAGGGGACTTCCAAGAGGTCACGCGGGCCTTTGAACTGAAGGGCCACTCTGCAGCTGTCCACTGCTTCGCTTTCTCCAACGACTCCCGGCGGTGAGTGACCCATCACTGATGTCTTCCACTGATCCCTCTTGATAACCAGGCTCCCTCTGCCCATCTCCTATAGCAGCTCGGAAGTGGGTGGGGTGCCTGGTCCTCTTGAGAAAGTCAACAGAGCCATGGACTTGGCTTTGTAGCTGGACTCTTGCCGTTGTCCCAGGTGTATTTGGGGCTAGAGCTATGCTTTTCCATGCTGCAGGATGGCCTCTGTCTCCAAGGATGGCACGTGGAGACTGTGGGACACGGACGTGGAGTACAAGCAGCAGCAGGACCCTTACTTGCTGAGGACAGGCCGCTATGAAGAGGCAAGCACCATGTTGTGCCGCCTGGCACTCTCCCCCGACGGCCAGGTCTTGGCTTTGGCCAGTGGCAGCAGTATTCATGTGTACAATACCCGGCGGGGTGAGAAGGAAGAATGCTTTGAGCAGGTCCATGGACAGTGTATCACTGACTTGTCCTTTGACATCACTGGCCGGTACCTGGCTTCCTGTGGGGACCGGGCAGTGAGGCTCTTCCATAACGCCCCTGGCCACCGGGCCGTGGTAGAGGAAATGCAGGGCCTCCTGAAGCGGGCTTCTAATGAGAGTACCCGTCAGAGGCTGCAGCAACAGCTGACCCGGGCCCAGGAGGCCCTGAAGAGCCTGGGCGCCTTGAAGCAGTGACTCTGGGTGAGTGTGGCCGGAAGGAGTTGGCCTCCTGCTGCCGCCACCATTTGTCTTCCCGGTACTTCCCAGCTGACAGCTTTCTAAAAGGAGTATCTCGGTTTTCCCAGCGGTGGCCCCTCTTCCCTTTTTTCCATTGAAATGATTCTTATCCATTTAGAAGTCTCTCTTCTTGCTGGTTATGACTCCAGGCCTTAACTTGACCTCCCAGGCTCCCAACCAAGGTGCTTCTCTTTCTCCTGGGCCCAAGTGGTGGGATCTGTCTTCACTGGGCATCAAGAAGTGTGGTGACTAGAACTGGAGGGAGTGTGGTTGTCAGCCTTGTAGCAACACGGCCTGGTCCCCAAAGAAGTTTGCAATTGTGGAGGCAGAGCTTCAAGAACACCTAAGTATTCACCAGCAATTTTTTAGGGAGGGGAGATTGGGTTTTTTTCCCAGTTACAAAACTGTCATATGAAGTTCGGAGAAGACATGGCAAGGCACTAAACTCCTTCAAAAAAGAAGGTATTTTATTCTGTGCTTCGTTTTTCTTTTTTATAAAATGGCAAGTAATCGTCCCGTGTGAAAACTTGTAAAGATGTTGAGGATATGAAAGTTAAAAACTACCCTGGATTTGGAAGAAAAGTGGACCAGAACTGCTCCTGTATTCTCTGTTGTTTAATAATACTGGTTAACTGCCTGACACAAGTAGGCATCAAACTGGTTTTCAGAAAGAAACCCATCCCTTGGGAAAGCAGAGTTTCTGGGACTCGGTCATACGTTTACATAGCTGGTTCTGTTTTAGAATCCCATGATGGGACTGTTTGAATGAAGGAGGTGTGGGCAAAGAGAGAAATCTAGGAAGACTGACTGTAAAATCTACTCGTCCAAATTCGACTTCTTCATTCTCTCTCCCTTCAGCTGGTCTCCAGCTCACGAAGTGTCTGAGCAAGCCCTTGCAATTACTCCCCTTCCCTCCTCCTCACTGGTGTGGCTGTGCACTGCTTCAGAAAGCTCATCTGCTTAGCCGCCACTGTGTTTCTTAAATCTGCTACTTCTCCATCTTCTCTGTTGTCACCTGGCCCGACCTGCTGCCCCTCCCACTATCTAGACTCTCTGCCCCCTCTCTCGCCTCATTCAATCACTTTCCCACAACACAGGAACCTTTGGAAAACATCAGCCGGGCCACTTAGTCCCGTAGTTTGAGACACTCCAACGGCTTTCCATCACACTTGGAATGCATGCAGGATTCTTCCCACAGCCTACAGGACCCTCTGTGATCTGGCTTCTTTCTTTGCTCTTTACCACTCACCACCACCTGAACCGTGCCGGTCTGTGAACAAGCCAAGTTCTTTCCAGCCTCAATGCGGGGCTTGTGCCTACACCATTCTCGTTGCTTCTGTGTTGGCAGCCTCATCCTGCTGCTTACAGTGAAGTTGCCGTTTCCGTCCCACTTCTGAGAGATGTTCCTGACTATGCACTCTGAAGTAATCCTTTCCACCAACCATACCACAGTCGCCTCACGAGCTTATTTGATTTACTGTATGGTATTTAATGCTACTTGGTTTGGATGTTTGTGTGAGTTGGGGCTTGGCTTAAATGATTATGGAGGCCAGCGGGGTGACAGAGATGCATGAATCGAGCCAGTCATGGTGGGAACTTGAAGGGACCTAGAGACAGGTACTGACAAAGGGGCAGGGGTGGCAGCTACTTTTTCAAGAATCCTGCCGAAGTTGCCTGTTTCTGAGATGCTAAACGTTGACAACTTATTTTTTTACATTTAAGCACTGTTGGGGCTAAACAAAACACTTACTGGCCAGGCACAGCCCACTGGTCTCTTAGTGGTAGCTTCTGGATGGTTCATTGATGGGCAGAATCCCGATCTGTCTGATTTGCTCTTCCCAAGCCCAATGCGAGGGAAGGAGTAAGCACGCAATAAATGTTGAACTCAGACAATGGTCATTTGTCACAAGCCCCAGTATCCTGTGTGTGTTCTTCCACTCCCAGTCTCTTGTGGTGTTATGTCCCTAATAAGATGATGACTGATAATGCCGTACACGTAGGGCCTGGTGAGTATTTGTTCCTCAGTTTTCAGAACAATGGGACAGAAACGCCTTTGCATACCTACTTTGTGCAGAAGTTCTGGCTTTCTGTCTTTGTATACCCAATTCCCGGTGTAACTCTCTTGAGTTTGTTTCCTAATCTGAAGACCAGGAGAACCCCTTGTCCTGCCTGCCTGGCAGGCTTGTGAGTTTCTAATGAGCCTCCTGAAAGCACTATTAGAAAAAGCCATTAGGGAGTCTACTTCCTGAAAAACAGCCTGTCCCTAAAAATAGGTTACTACTCTGCAGTTGTGGAGAAGGTGCCTTGGCACTCGCTCCTAATTGGAACTGAGGTCACCCCAATTTTTTGATCCAGAATCCTCCTGTGTGCAGGCAGAATTGACATCATACTGTTTGCATTTCTGTAAGTTTGAAACTCTCAGAATAAAAAGATGTGGAAGTATTGAAGATGGTGATACACAGCTACAGCCTACTTCTCTAAGTCTTTAAAAATAGAGGGAAGCACTAGGTGCCCACTGAAAGCCTGTTGACAGTTAACTAAGAATATTCATATTTTAAAGATGAGCCTGTAATTGGAGACCATAGCAGGTAAGTAGGAAACATACCGTGAGTTCTCTGTGGTGGTGGGTCATTCATGTACTCATCTGCAAAATTCCAGAGACGACGGTCTTCCTGGTGAACGTGGTTTGGTATCATCACTCACCAGTGGGGTGGAGGTTGGTATTGCAGAATTGACCACAGCGTCTGAAAGCACGACCCACATGTTAAAAGCTCTGTCTTCAGATATAGTAACTTCATTCCAAAGTCTTCATCTTGTCAAGCTTCAGAGTCTCATTCCAGAAAGTTAAGGGTAGTTGTGGTATTGGGGTCTCCACTTGGTTTCAATGCATATCTAGCTTGAGGTCATTTGCATTTTTTTGTTGTTGTCACATGATGAATGACTAGCATTGAACACTAAGTGTTTAATGTCTACCGCATCATTTTTTTTGCCATATTGATGCTCCCCAAAACCCCATCTTGGTTTTTATTTGGTGAGCTACCTCTTCCCTTGCTTCTAATCTATAGAGGAGACAGACTCAGACTCTCCATGGTGGGCATATAACCAGTCAGCAAGTCTTAGGACTTTGCTGGAAGTTTTGAAAGGTGAAGATCATCTTTCCTTTTTCTGCTGGGGTTGCCAACTAAGAGTGGAGGCTTGTTAACCTGCCGGCCTAAGAATGAAGCCACCAGAGGGAAGCAGAGCTGAAAGATCCGAACTCTGTGCTGCTGCTCTGTGGACTGCCTCAGTTCCAACAGTCAGGACATTCCTGTTAATGATGAAACCAGTTTGCAACTGAAAGAGTGTTACCAGGTTAGAGAGTCCAAGTGACACACAGCTACTAGATGGCAGGCCCAGATTTTTTATATGTAGGTCTGTCTGGTGTTAAAGGGAAGTCCTGTGTAGCACAGCTTAAGTGTTGGCTACTGACTGAACATTTGACAGTTAAAATCCACACAGAGGCACCTTGAAAGGAAGGCATGGCAATCTCACAGTCACTGAAAAGCTTATGAAACAATTCCACTCTGTGAAACAGTTCTGTTCTGAAAGTCAGGGTTGCCATGAGTTGGGAGTCTACTTGACAGCAAGTGGTGGTCTGAACAGCAGTTCAAGCTCACAAGCTGCTCCTTGGAAACGCTATACAGGGTCACTGTGGGTTGGAACCAACTCAACGACACAACAACATGTCATATTTCAGTATTTAAAGTTGATGAATCAAGTTGAATATGTTTATACTACCCTGATTACGTAACGTCCTAGAAATCCAAGTTCGACTTTCGAATTCTCAGATTCAAGAGTTCCATGCCAGAATGTGGCAACAAGACAGACTTTTCTGCCATGGCCTCCGTTCTATGTGCTTTGAAGTCTTTTGTGATCCAGGACCCACGTGATCTTCCTGATTGCTGCACCCCAGGTTACATTGAAAGTGTACATCCATCGCCTACATGATATATTGATCGCCGGTGCTCACCAATATCCATCTTTCTCTTTAACTGGTTACAAAGTTAGACTCCATTTCCCAGTCTCCTGTGTGGTAAGGAGAGATCATGTGATGAATTCTGGCCAATGTAGTGTGCAGAGCCATCTGTTTATGACTGCCTCTGAAAATACTCCTATGGTTCTCCGTGGTCTGTCTTTCCTTTGCTATTAGGCACAAGCAGACATCGATTTTTGAGTCTAGACGGCTGAGCCCCTGAATGACTGTGGAGCAGGCCCTCCCCAATCCCAGTATTATCATTATGAAAAAAAAGAAATTTGTATTGTGTTAAGCCATGAGGTAGCTAGCCCACACTTAGTAAAGCGGAGACGTCACTTAGACTTGAGCTTGGAGACACCAAGACTAGTGTGGCAGCCAAGTTTCTGTAAATCCAGACCTCCAGACCAAAACACCTTCTTTTCACCCCCACTCCAATTGTGGTAGTATTGTGCCTTCTTTCCCAATCCAAGGATACTCATTCAGGTTCAGCTGGCGGCTGAGTAGGGAGAAGAACACAAAACCCGGAGTCAGAAGTCTTGGGTTCTATCCTGGCTGTACCTCACTCAGATTATACACCACTCTGTGAACTTGTGTCTCACATATTGAGATAACACTAGTTTTCTAGGACAGCAACAAAATAGGAGAGAATGCATGTCTGAAATCATAATGTAGACAAAATGGGGGTAGAAATTAATTCAATTCAAAAAAATTGATCTTACATACATACCTTATAGTTCTTTGTACAATTCTTGATCTCTTCCTGTTGTTAAGTGCCATTGAGTCAGTTCCAACTCATAGCGACACTGTATAGGGTTTCCGAGGAGCTGCTGGTAAGCTTGAGCCACCGACCTTGCAGTTCAAATGGCTTTGCAGTTTGGCGCATTAACCCACAGCGCCACATCAGGACTCCTCTTGATCTCTAAGAAGCAAGAAATAATTATGTGAGTTGGTAAGTTAATCAGAACTCTATTAGGAGACCTTCTGTTTCAAGTATCAGAGATCAGACTCCTATTAAAGCAAAAAATATTTTATGGCTCATGTAATGAAAACTTTAGGAGTTCAGGCATAGCTTGATCTAGGTGTTTGACAGAGACCATCAAGAATGCACTCCTGCTCTGAGCTCTGTTTTCCTGGCTGCAGCTGTAAATATCAGGAAAACGGGGTTAGTGAGCAAAACACTTAAGCAGCTCCAGTGTTTCAGTCTTCCAGCTTACCCACCAATAGAGCGTGCCTCTTTCTAAAGGCTTCTAGCAAAACTCCTAACGAGGACCCTCCATAGCTCATTATGTCCATCCCTAAACCAGTCTCTCACAGCTCTTCAATGCCTGACTGGGTCATGTATGTGCCCGTTTGGGAGACAAAAGACAGGGTCCGTATTTACTCAAACTCATGACCAGAAGTGGAGGCAGAAGGTTTCTGTAAGAATGGTGGTGGCATCTGAAGGACCCCTGGTGACAGTGTGGGTTAAGCAGTGGGCCACTAACCAAAAAGGTTTGTGCTCCATGGAAGGAAAATGAGTCAGCTTCCATGCAAATTGACACACTTGCAAACCCGATGGAGCAGTCTAGTTGCTCCTTGGAAACACTATACAGGATCACTATAAGTCCGAACTGACTCAACTTAGCAACGCTATCATCTGGTGGGAGTTACAAGATCATGGCAAGAAAGTCATTTACAAGCGATCCATCACACCATGGTTTCCCAAAAAGAAGAAATACGTCCCAGCAGAGCCACAGGACAGGCAAAAGCATCAGAAGACCACATTCCACACAAAAATGACACTCCCAACTTTTTCCTTCTAAGTTTTATTTTGTTATTGAAAATATGCACAGCAAAGGATACATTAATAGTATTTATCCTACAGCACCACACCAGGACTCCATGGAACCCTGTTAGCCACTTTTGCATTGAGGATGAGGATGGGCTCACTGACTTCAGAATCTCCTTTAGAATCCAGCATAAGGTTTTTCACCTCAAAAAGGTAAAAAAAAAAAAAGATGTGGTACCACTATGAGGAAAACTTGGTAGACACCTGCTTTGATATTCTCTCTCACACAGCTGCAGTGAGATGAGGTGTGGGGTGTAAGGCCAAGTGGACAAATACGGACAGGGGTCACTGAGATTTTGGAGCTGGGCAGAGCCTGATCAGAATGCCGGTTAGAAAAGGTGACTGGCTGGCAATGGAACTATATGATCTGGAGGAGGAATAGACAGGGGAGACCAGTTTAGCTGTCAGATGGAGACAAGCTGTAGGCCAGGAACATCAAGAGGAGGCTGGTCAGGACTTGGACAAAAGTGAGAGAGTGGTTAGACCAGGTATTGGGTGGTATGTCTGCACCAGGGAAACCTATGAACAGAATTGGAAATGTATAGAGAACTGGCCTCGCTCCCAGGCCTTGCATTTTATTATTCTAATTTTGGTTTGCTTTCCTTATCCTCACCTGGTTGGCAAGGAGTGTGTCTTACTCATCCTTGAGTCACCCATAGCGCCTACTGGTCTAGGGCATAGAGCAAGGTTTGGATCAATTGGGTTTGAGAAAGAGATGTGCCACTTTTGATTCCAGTATCTCTAAATCAACCTTTCTCTCCACTTGCTGGGCAGCTCTGCCTCTGTCAGCAAGGCTGAGATAGCTCCTCTGCCATGTCAGTTGATGGAGTCCTGGTGTGGCGCTGTGGGTTAATGAGCCAGACTGCAAAGCTGTTTGAACTGCAAGGTCGGAGGTTCAAGCTCACCAGCTGCTCTTCAGAAACCCTGTATAGGGTTGCTATGGGTCGGAACCGACTCGACGGCCCTTAACAATAGTAATGTCAGTTGGTAAACATTCAAGGAGCATCTGCACTGTCTGTGAACACCGCTGGCCTATGGAGCAATAGCTTCTACTGTTTTCAGAGGTCAGCTTCAACCGTCAGGAAAACCCTCACTTACGTTAGAGCTGTCATAGCACCCGGAACTTCATTTAGCCCAAAGCCCACTGCCACCAAGTCGATTCCAACTCTTAAGAGAGGCTCTTAACAAGGTGGGACCCTATGAAACTCGAAGGAGGTGTCTTGAGTTTCAACTGGATGTTGGAGGTAAGCTCATTAAGTTTAGAGTCCAGCGAATATCGGACTAGGTGTGTTTGCAAAGACCAGTAGGAAAAGGTGTGAAATTCTATGATGGATCTGGGGAACCATGGCCCAGATTGGGTAGGGTAGAAGTTCAATCTCTTTGGGGTCAAAACCGTAAGTTTCAGCAGCAACTCTGGCAAGTTACTGTGGATCTCGGAACCCCTTGAGAGAGGAGAGTCAGGTTTTTCACACCTCGCCTTGCCCACAGCACGTGCCGCCCGCTCGCCCGTACCGAGGCCTGCGTCGGGTAAGGGGACTCCTGGGTCGCTCAGGGAGGGACGCCTGGGGCGGGCGCGCAAGCGCGCTGAGGCCTCGAGCCCCAAGAGGCGGGCGGGTGCGCGCGCTTCCTCGCGCACGCGCGCACGGAAGAGAGGACGGCGGTGGTGACGCTGCTGCGGCGGACGCGGCGCGCGTTTCCCGTGTCTTGGGAGCAGTGCCCCGGCCCCCCGCCTCTCCCGCCGCCGCCATGTCCGGCCGGTCGGTCAGGGCCGAGACCCGCAGCCGGGCCAAGGACGACATCAAGAAGGTGATGGCGGCCATCGAAAAAGTGCGGAAATGGTGAGGGACCAGAGTCACAGGTCCTGGCCGGGGTCGCCAGCCCAGGCCCAAAGGAGCGCGGGATTGGCGGGCGGGGTGGGAGCAGACCGGCAGGCGCTTGGGGGGAGGGGGAGAGTAGAAGGCGGGAGGAGGGTACAGCGCATCGGCGTGAGGTCAGGGGGCGTGCCCTATGCGGCCAATCAGCGGGTTGCCCGACTCGTGTGCCCGCCCACCTGACGCGCGTCATCTGGGCGGGGCTGTCGGCTTCCGGCGGGAGCTCGGTCAGTGGGGCCTTTTCGCTTCTTGTGTCTGCCGGTCTCCTGTGCCCAGACCGGTGCGAATACCGCACTTGCTTTTGCTTCTTCGCTGTCGCTTGCCTTTCAAAGAACTGTGTTTCCGAACTGAATCGTCATAGTAGCTCGCAACTATTGAGTGTTCAGTGCGCCGTTCTGCGCGCCTTCTGTAGTCAAGCATTTGAGTTTGCTGAGAGTTTCCCGGTGAATCCACCTGTCCGCGGGAAGCCAGCGCGACCTTAGAAATCGAATCACCCTTAATATCTTTCAGCTGTACCTTCTGGTCCATGCACTGCAAACTTGATAGGAATTTTCTTGTGCCCTGGAGCTGTTAGAGAGCTCCACACCAATCTCTTGGTTGGAAACGGTAGTCCTTGAAGACCCGGAGTGAGCGCCTGTTTGTGTAGGAAACGGATGCATTCTCACATTTAACTTTCACAGCCAATTTCTTGAGCTCTTTCCTTCCCTTTTCTATATCAAAAGTCCCTACCGGAGGCCTTCTGGCAACCTTTCCGAACCCTTCATTCTCCACCGGTTTGAGGACTTAGCGCTGTGGACAAGCACTAGACTTGAGAACCATAGGTCGGCAGTTCAAACCCACTAGCTGCTCCTCAGAAACCCTATACAAGGTCGCTATGAAATGGAACCGACTTGACGGCACTTAGCAACAAAGTTCCGTGTTTGGAGTCCTAGTGTGGCGCTATAGGATAAGCTTTGGGCCGCAAAGTTGGTATAAACTGCAAGGTTGGAGGTTCAAATCCACAAGCCGCTCCTTGGAAACCCTACACAGGGTCGCTATGAGTCAGAATTGACTCCATGGTACTAAACAACAACAGTTAGTGTTAGGAGTCCTGCTGTAGGACAAGCACTGGACTGCTAATCTGAAGGTTTACAGTTCAACGTCACCAACCGCTCCTTGGAAACCCTGTACAGGATCACTGTGAGTCAGAACCTACTCAATAACATTTAACAAGAACAAGAACTTGCAAGTTTATTTGTCAGTTTTTCCATTGGCGGAAGCGCCTGTCTTTATATCCAAGGTCTTGGTAGAGAATTGGGATTTAGTAATTTAGTGATTTTTTTTTTTCTTTTCCAAATCTAATTCTAGATTTTGGTTAAACCTAAGAATTGGAATATCTTGTTATTTGTTTTCCTTCTCTTCTGGACATCTCTGCCCTCACCAGTCGATTAGTCCAGATAACTATCCTTTCAGCCAACAACTCTGCGGCCACCTCCCCACCTCTCTTCTCTGGCTGCCTCCCCTGCCCGTTCATCACACTGCAGTCTGAACAGTGTCCTTTTTTCACTTCCACATTGGAATCCACAACAGAACCCCCAGTTATCAGAATGATCTTTTACAGATGAAAATCTTATGGTAGCATTTCCCTGGTTAGGAAATTACGCTTCTGTGGTCTCTTGTTGCTCATGGGATAAAAACCGAAGAATCTTGGTTGTCATCTCCTGTGTCATCTGCTTCTCCCAAACTGCCCTCTCCACGGAGCCTGTTTGCCCACAGTACTGTTCGCTGCCAGGCATCCTGCCTCTTCTCTCTCCTCATCCTTGCCCGGCTACTCCCAGAAGTTGGTGCAAAAGTTGGCTCCTCAGGGACACCTTTCAAGATCCTCCGTCTGGATCAGGCCATCTTCCTATAACTTTGCACAACCCTGAGAAATTTTCGGATATTTGCCCATTTAACCTACAAAAAAATGGCAATTTTATGTGATTCAAACTAATGATTAAATAACTGATTGTGTCTCAAGCTGTTTAATGCCTGTTTCCAGTTGGCACACAGGCTCTGTGAGTTTAGAGATGTGCTTCTCCTGGTCTTCATCCCCAGGATCTCATACAGGGTCTCGAACAAGGCTAAGGATCAGCTCCGGTTTCCTAAATCTCGAGTTCATTTTTCTTTCTATTCATCATAGTTTCTTGCTGTCTGTGATGGTATCATTTGTTGAACAGGGTCAGCTCCTTTGGCATTTTTTGCAATTTCACGTTCAGACTAGACACTTGGTGAGTTGCCTCACATCACTTCCAAGCAGCACTGCATCTCTCTGTCATTTCTGCTGTCAGCAGCACCTTGTCAGAAATTCCAGTGGCTCTTAGAATAAGCACATTCATCCAGTGCTTGGCATGCTTAGAGAAGTAACCTCATGGAAAAAGGAGAGTCTCTTGTTATATCTCCTCCATAGGCTTTCTGAGCACATTGAAGGTGTTTCAGTGGGCCAGCTCAGACCACTGCCATTGAATCAGGTTTACATAGAGTTGTGAGAACTTAATGTTAGTTTAGAGAGTGGCTTTTTGGCAAGAGTTTTATTCCTCCTGATGCCTTTTTGTTTCTCTTGTGTGATGGTAATCGCTTGTTATTTTTTTCCCCTAAAGATATGTTGTTAAACTGCGATCAAATTGGTCCCAACTCACATTGACCCCTTGTACAGCTGAGTAAAATGTGGCTTAGTCCTTCGCCATCCTCATGCTTGGGCCATTATGATACATAAGGCTTTCTTTGGCTAATCTTCAGAAGTAGATCGCCAGACCTGCCTCCATTGCTTGTTTTAGTCTGGGAACTCCACTGAAACCTGTTTGGCATCATAGCAGCACAAGCCAGGACCAGCCCGAAGACTTAGACATTATCTCTAAAACTAGCACAACAGCCTTTATTTAAGCTTTTTAAATGAAATAGCTATTCTATACGTTTCTGCAGTGTGTGCAAGAAGGGTTCTGGAAGCAGAGCGTGCAGTAGCTACAGAAAGACTAGAGTTTTGTAAGATTTGAGTCCAAAATGGTGAGGTTAGGTGGTTAGCTGGTGCTGCAGAGATTTCCTGGGCTTCCTTGAGGAGGATGCACCCACTGAATGATGGTCCTTACCCTCACAGAGGCAGAGAGCACACACAAGTGGTAAAGAGAAAAGCATAGTGCAGGGATTGCAATCATTGGGACAGAACAAAGTGTATGATTTGTGGACTGCAAGGCTGACGATCTTGTCTGCAAACCTTCACTCAGTTCACAATAAAGAGTTGAGAAAAGCGCACCAAGTAACTCACAGGCAAGTGGAAAAGAAGTTAGTGCAAACACCTGTTGGTGCAGTCCTCAGTTTGATACTGAATTCCTTCTCCCAGATTGCCTCAAATGACCTTTCCAGATTTCTACCCCCCCCCCCCCCCCCCCACTCCTTGAGCATTAAACTTGATTACTTGCTGTGCCCCCAAAGCAGCTTCGGACTCTCCACCTTTCCTTACCCTAAATCTGCTCCTGGAGCCCAGAATGTCACCTGCCTTTCCCCAAGAATGAGTGCAGTGGGGAGCTTTTCATTCTCTATGCCTTAAAAGTCACTTCCTCTGGAAAAGAAAACCTTAGAGCAGCCTTTCCCAGGGCCTGGCATGACCTCCTCTAGGAGCCAGTCTGAGGCTCAGCACTGGTAGCAGGCGGCATCCTGCGGTGATTTTTAAATGAAGTGTGCTCTGCTGTGACGACCCCAAGAATGCCCACAGGACTCCTAAGTGTGCTTCCCTCTGTAGGCTCGCCTAGTCTCTGCTGGTCTTTCAGCCTTCACAACCTCCTCACCATCTTCTGTGTCACAGTGGCTTTCTTCTTGTTTTTCTCACTCCTTATGAACTCCCAGGGCAATTGGGATCATCTCTTACAAATCCTCTATGACTTGCAGGATGTTGTATAATGGAGCTTTATAAATATCAGTGGAATTCAACGAATGTTGGGAAAATCTAGGCATGCAACCAGGTCAATACCTGCACATGAAGAAGCAGAGAATATGCTTTCTGGAAGGGGATTACTTTGTGCTCAGAGGTGTGAGATCTAATTTGCTAGATGTGTATAAGGCACTCCAGACTGAAGGAAGGGTCTGAGAAGTAGAGAAGCCCCAAGTATGAACAGAAAGTCCATTGCATTGTTTTACCAGTTCTAAGAAATGTCTTTCTTTTAGGGAGAAAAAATGGGTGACCGTGGGTGACACTTCCCTTAGGATATTTAAGTGGGTTCCTGTGACGGACAGCAAGGAGGTAAGTGTGGACAAAAGTCGAAACAAAAAGGCACCGGTTTTTATGTCTGTGATTGCCTCTTGATTAGAAAGGAATCCATTCCCCTAGGAGTGAATGGAAAATTGTACTTTAAGGCACCTGCAGTCAGTGCTCTGTGCAGGGGCCCTCTTACTTCATTTTCTTTTTCTTAACCCTTTCCATTCTTTCACATCTTGGCAAACTACAGTGCTAACAAGCTCCCTGGGTTTGTCAGTCTTGTTGTATTGAAACACAGCCATGCCCAGCAGTTTTCCTTACTGTCTGTGGCTGGCATTGAGTTACAGTGACAGAATTGAGTCCTTACTACAGAGACCTCATGTCCTGTTGAACCTGGCCCTGTAAGAGTGCTTGGGTGGCACAGATGGTCAAACACATGGTTCAAACCCACCCCAAGGTGCCACGGAAGACAGGCCTGGTGATCTGCTTCTGAAAGGTCACAGCCTTGGAAATCCTGTGGAGCCGTTCTGTTCTGGACACTTGGGGTTGGCATGGAGTGGAGTAACGGGTCTAGACAGGAGGAGAGCAGGAAGCTCTGAGCTTATGTCTGTCCCCGGGCCTGGCGTACAGACTCAGCTCCTGCTTGCAGAGAGAAGGGCAAGAACAGAGTCCGCTCTTTCCGGCCTGTGAGAGGCCATGACTGTTTTTAGAATGCGAAGACATTGCTTACTTTTGGTGTTTGCACTTACGTTGGGAAAGCCGTGGTGGGCAAAGCCGCTGGAGCCTTAGCAGGACTCAGGCAAGGGTTCCCCCACTGTGCTAGAAATCATTGTACCCTTCCCCACCCCAAAATAAATGAGGGCCAGCCAGTGTATAAGTCAGGATGGGCATACAACATGATGGAGCTAATAATGTCACCGAATTGTGCATATAAAGAACCCTTAAAATTTATGATACGCGAGGGTAAGTCAAAAAATATTGCTACTGGGGTTCCAGTTCATACATGCACAAGTTTATACCAAACAAAATATGTTTAGGCATGTCTTTGCCATCAGTGGGTGGCAACAGTCAAGTTCTGTCAGTAATGTACTTGTCTTAGTCTCATTAGGGTGCCTTCAAAAAAGAGCCAATCAAAGCAGTGACTTCTGGCAAAATGGTGGACTAGGCAGACGCTCTACACGGATCCTCTACAACAAAGATACAAGAGATCCAGTGAACACACAGATGAGAATCCTGGAATCCTAAGTTTCTGAGGAGAGGTTGGAGAAGTGGACTGAGTGCTTGCTGGGAGGAGAAACTGAGCAGGGGCAGCGAGAGAGGGAGACTGACTGGTGAACGGCCAGCCCTACCAACTTGAACTTTTCTATGCAGCTTTGGCAGCAAAAGGTGGGCTAGCAGAGCAGACTCACACAGGCGACAGGAGAGGTGTGAGTCCTTTTTCCGCACGCTCCCCTGATAACCAGAGGTATGACCAGCTCCATCCGCATTCAGCCCCAACACAGACCCTGCTCTCCTGGAATTCAGAGCAGCAGCGTGTGAGGCAGGGACCAGCTGAGCCGCTTTGGTACATTGTTTTGGTGCCTGGATTCAGGTGGGCTCAGTTACAGACCTACAGAATCAGCAGAGCCACCAGACCAGCATTTAACCAGTCACCCTGCCCCCATCTGCCCTATAGTCCTAACAGACATTGAAACCAGCTCCATGAAGGGCCTCCTCACAAACTGCTTCCGGAGTGAATGTCCTGAACATCTATAGCACCGAGGCTGATAGGAACTCTGTCTTCACCTCCCTCCCACACCCGCCTCATCAGCTCTTTGGCTTGCAGGAGCGCCCCCAGAATTTTCTTCCCTCTGGGTACAACAGCTGGACTCTTTTTCTTTTGTTTTTGTGTGTGTGTTTGGTTTTTTGTTTATTTTTTTCTCTTTCTCTTCTTTCCATTCACTTCAGTTTTATCCTTTCTATGTGGCACTGTAGGATAAGCACTCCACTACAAGGTCGATTTGAACCACATGGTTGGGGGTCAGAATCCACCAGCTGCTCCTTGAAAGCACTATACAGGGTTGCTATGGGCTGAAACCGACTCGAAGGTATGAAGAGCAGCAGCATCCGGCTTTTGTTTTCCTTCTTGTCTGTCTCATTTCCCCTCTGTTTTCCCCCTGATTCTCTCTCTTTACTACTCTGTGCCCTCTCTTTTCATCTTCCCTCTTCCTGGATTTTCTAAGTTTGTTTAATTTTTTTTCGATTTTTCTCTTCTCTAGCTTCATTTTCCTGTCTCTCTTTTGTCTTTATAGTTATATTCTTTTTTTCTGGTTGTTGCCTGGTTTTATTTCATTGTTATCTTTTCATTGTTGATTTCTTGCTTGTTTATTTTGTTTTTTTTTTCTTTGTGTATGTGTGTGAAGGCTTTTCTGTTTCCCACCAGACAAGAGACCGCATCCATGTCCATACAACCCAACCACAGTCCTCTGTAGTTCCACACTCTGGGTAAGAGCCAATACTGTACCACCTGATAAATGATAGCAGCGAACACCAGCCAAACCCACCCATTGTACAAATGGCAACCGAGAACAGTGGACCCACTTCTATTCTCTAACTATACCCACAGGAGACAGTGGTGAGAGCCTAGGAACACATCAACAGACAGTTGTCAATTAAATACAAATACGACAACTCCACAGATGCCTCAGAGACAATGGACAATTTTGGCTCACATGAAGAAACAAGAGAGAATGGCTCAAACAAATGACCGAGATGCAGAGTCAGAAAAAGTTTCTGAGGAAGACTAGGTAATAGAATTAACTGAAAAAGAATTTTTAAAAATGATGTTTAGGGACCTTCAAAGGATTGATAGAAAAGTTGAGGAAAGCAAGGAGAACACAGAAAAAGTTTTAGAAGAATTCAGGAAAACAGTGCAAGAACAAACCCTCAAAATAAATGCAAATTCTGAAACAATACAAAACCTGCTATTAGAAATCCAAAAGAGTAATACTATCAGAAATGGATAGTACATTGAGAAGGGAAAGGAGTACATTTGTACATTTGAAGCAATGGAAGCCTGAATTAGTGAGCTTCAAGATAAATCTCTCGATATTAGTATGGTAGAAAAACAATCAGGAAAAATGCGAAGAAAGCCTAAGACTTATGTGAGACACCATGAAGAGGAACAACTTACAGGTGATCGTAATTTCAAAACAGGGAAAGACAATAAACAGCATGGAGAAAATCTACAAAGAGTTGTTGAAAGAGAATTTCCATAGCATCATGAAAGATATGAGAAGATAAGCATACAAGAAGCTGAACAAACCCCAAATAGGATAGCTCCTAAAAGAAAACTACCGGGCCATGTTACAATCAAACTTTTCAAAACCAAAGACAAGGAAAGAATCCTGAGACCAGCTTGGGAAAAACAAACTTACCTAAAAAAGAAAGCTCTGATTTCCCAGCAGACACCAGGCAATGAGGTGACATACTCAAAACTCTTGAAAGAAAGACAGTGCCAACCAAGAATCTTATACCCAGCAAAGCTGTCCCTCAAGTACTACAGCACAGTGAGGACATTTCCAGATAAGCCGAGATTAAAGGAATTGTAATGACCAGACCAACTTCATAAAAAATGCCAAGGGATATTCTTTGAACTGAGACAACAACCTGAAATTACCATACATGACACCACCACCCAGAACTCAGTCCAGATACTGTTGTTGTTGTTAAGTACTGTGGAGTCAATTCCGACTCATAGTGACAATGGCACAGGGTTTCCGAGGCTGTAAATCTTTACAGGAACAGAAAGCCTCATCTTTCTCCCACGGAATGGCTGGTAGTTTTGAACTGCCAACCTTGAGGTTAGCAGCCCGATTTGTAATCGCTGTGCTACCAGAGCTTCAGTCCAGATATAGAAGTCTTTAAAGTAAAAATAGGGGTCCAAGAAACATCAATTTATAATGAAGTCAACTACAAAGCAAAGAGTGGAAATAGTGTAGATACAGAACTTCCAAAGGTGAGGAAGTCAAGTAGATTTCAACTTAAAACAGATTCTCTCCCATCCAGCGCATGTATTAAAAGTGTTTATTCTAAAAAAACAACAACAAACACAAAACCCACAGACGAACTCAGCACAGAAAATTATGTGGAGCAAAGAAACCAGTGACCCTACAAAAACATACACAGCAAAATGACAGCAGTTAATTCATACCTAGTAATTACAAGGTCGCTATGAGTCACAACTGAGTCAAAGGCACTTAACAACAACAACAGATATACTGAATGTGAGAGGATTAAATGCACGAGTTAAGAGACAGAGAAAGCAGAATGGATAAGAAAACAGGAACCGTCAATATGCCATGTACAAGGGACACATCCAAAAGCTAGAGACAGCCTAAATGCCCATCAACAGAAGAATGGTGAAACAAACTTTGGTACATGCACACACAGATTGCTATGCAATATTAAAGAGTAATGATAAATCTGTAAAACACTTCACAACAAGGTTGAACCTAGAGGACATTATGCTGAGTGAAATTAACCACAGAAGGACAAATATTGTATGAGACTGATATTAAAAAGCAGTCTCTGATGGTTATGGTGGGGGAGGGATTTTTCACGGGCTAGAGGGTAGACATGGTGACAGGGCAGACAGTATATAACAAGAGGGAGGGAGGTAGCAGAGGAAAGATGAAGGTAGCAGACACGAAGGAGTGCAATAGTTAAAGTGAATAGAGGTAAATACTGTTAACTGATAGTATATGGAGGGTATTACAATCATTGTAATGAAGCAAAGTATATATAATTTGTTGAATGTAAAACTGATGCTCTGCTCTGTAAACCTGCACTCAATTCACACACAAAAAAGCTTCCAACAGAATTTGCTGGGTCAGTTAGTATTCAAAGCAAGAGAGGTCAGCTCAGAAGGTTGTGGTGACCATTTTGGAGATTTGTTGTTGTTAAGTGCTGTGCTGTCGAGTCAATTCTGCCCCATAGTGACCCTGTACAGGGTTTCTGAGGAGCAGCTGGTGAGCTTGAACTACCGACCTTGCAGTTCAAATGGC